TGTGAGAACTCACGGAAACCTCCGCCTTCGACTCTGCCGCCGTGTCAGCCGGCCACGCTCGAGCCTTGTGCCCAGCAGGAGGTCAGGACCAGCAGCGCATGCGTCATCACAACTGCTCTCAGAGTACCTTGCATCGAGCAGGCGACACCCTCGACAACGACAACAACGACCACGAAACAGCCCCCGACCACAACCACCACCACTACGACAGTAGCGCCCATTACCTCGACGGCCGCTCCCAGGACTGACTGCTCGAACGGTGACATTTACCCCTATAGTGTGGGCAGCTGCAACCAGTTCCTGATGTGCCGCAACAGAGTGTACATCCTGATGGTCTGCCCGTCGGGACTCGGCTTCAACTTCCAGAGCAAGAGCTGCGAGCGCTCCGACATCGTGCCCGCTTGCAGTGCACGCAGCTAATTTATAGGAATCCTTTTATGATTAAGAATGTCCTAATTAATATTTATTTATTAAATAAAAAAAGGTTTCGTAATATGTGTCTTTGAGTATTATCCATCTAGACTCAAAATTACTTGTGCTTCATACATGTTTACTACTAGCAGAATTTTCATTTTTATTAAGAAAATACATGTTTCACCTGTTAAAAAGTTTATTTAATTTTTAACCAAGTGATTTTGCTAAGCTAACCAACCTCTGACTATACTAATCTATCTTACGATATGTCCATGCGTAAAAGTACATTTTCTATTTTTTTAGTAAAAGAAAACCTACTCAAACGAGTCAAAACTCGGAAGTTAGCTCTCATTATTCAATGATTACAATAAAATTTCTTCTTTTCAATTCACTTGCACTTTGGACAAAACGGCGCAGTTTTCAGATAATTTGCAGATTTTACATATGTATTTGTGCTATACGATTAATGTATTATTCGGGATAGATTCTCAAATGTTTTTTGTTACAACATCTATTACTTTATCGATAGCAGAAAATAGATTTTAACATAAATAAAATAATCGCATTCGCGTAGTTATCGTTATTATTTATTTTCTCATAGCTACAATACCTACTTACTTTAAACAGTGGTAGAGCCAGCTTTAACATCTTCGCACGAATCGGCCCGGCTCGCCCGGTGAAGTACCACGACCACACAGAAGATAGGCGTCAAATGGAAGAAATTCCGCGTTTCGTCTGATGAGTGTGCGTCCCGGAGGCCTAATTTAGTCCTCTTTTCCTTCCTACCCTTTTTCTCATTAGGAAAGGATGGGAAGTGGAAGTGGACTTTCCGGATGAGAGGATACATGGAAGGGGAAAATATTTTCTTTCTGTGCATCCTCTCCTCCGTCGATTAAAGGTACACAACGCATATCCATTTGCGTATGTCTATGGGCAACGGTCACTTCGCTATTTCAGCGATTTCTGGTGGCCGCTCGCTCGTTTGCCGCGTTATGATATAAAAAAAATACCTTAATAAAATTTATGTGAAATTCAGGTTTATCATATCAACGTTTACTCATCCATATAATCAAAGCTTGGGCGTCTTCCTACCAGAGAATTAATACACTTTGATGCTTATCACGGTCTTGATATCTATCCGATTCACCAAAGGTTTTTCGTTCGTAAGTATGTAAGTTTTTTAATGTATGTTGGTTTGTATAATCGTATGTAAATTCCTTTGTGACGGCCTAGAGCCTATAATCTGAACTAATTTGTCGAGGGGATGTCATTCGATTAACCATCTTCCCCAGAGTACCATAAGCACAATACACATACAGTTGATGTAAAAACTAAAATTCTATATTACATACTGAAAACAGTTATGGAGAGTTCGATTCTCAATCGATGTAACTTTTTTACATTGCTTTATCATTTTCTCTGTTTGTGAGTTTATTCTAAAACGCGAATATGCTAGTTAACAACACAGTTCAATTTCATAAAAAAAAGACTCAGTTCTAAAATGTAGCCAATAGATGGCGGTATACTCGTATGACACATTTGAACCTAGTCAATAGGATTTTTTTGGAATTTTTAAAACTAAGGTTAGATTATAGTTTATAGTCCATAACGTTAACATTCATATGTAAATATTTTCGTTGAATCTGTTTCCATGAATAATATTAAAGGAAACAGATTCAACGAAGCTCCTTTTCTTTTGAGAGACATGGGCTGAAATGAGTGGGACTTAGTGGCGAGAGGCAAGCGTGCCATGCAGTAAGGGTTTTAGCTGTATTAACACCCTGGGTGAGATTTCTACTGCGCCCTCTTCTACCATGCCTTGTGCTAACAGGAATAGGATACTGTAAATCGCTGAGTTGCGCCGCCCTTTCTGTTTGGCGCCCTGGGTGATCGTCCAACCGCACCCTACCCTAACGCTTGTACTGAATATTTATTACGTTATTTTAGCATGGGACCAAATTTGCCACCAGTTCGTACCACCGAAATATATTGACATGTAACACTGTTATCTCAACAATTACCTTAAAAGAAACTGGTTTAATAGTAATAAAGAAATTATTGATTAGTATTTTTTATCAAAATTAACAAAAATGATAATTTCACAGTAATGCGTTTATAATGTCTTTAATACCACTAATAGAATATTTATATGATTCCATTATAATTATGCCAAATGATCCAAACTAAACGATTTTGTATAAATACAGTGTAAGTACAAGTAGAGTCACAATTCACATTAGAGCTTCACAGCACTACAACAATAATCATGTTCAAGACAACATTGTTCTCCGTTCTTTTGCTGGCTTTGGCCATGCAATCTGGTAAGTTATCTTTGTTTAAATATTTTACCTTCATATTTTGTACTTTCGATGTCTTTATTTATTGGTTATTATTATTTTCTAGTAAATGGTAAGCCAGCATGCGGTTGTGAGAACTCAAGGACACCTCCGCCTTCGACTCTGCCGCCGTGTCAGCCGGCCACTCCCGAGCCTTGTGCCAAGCAGGAGGTCAGGACCAGCAGCGCATTCGTCATCACAACTGCTCTCAGAGTACCCTGCATCGAGCAGGCGACACCCTCGACAACGACAACAACGACCACGAAACAGCCCCC